GGGTTCCTTACCACTAGCCCCACCTGGGAAGCCCAATCAGATCCTGTTTCTCTACTAATTCTTGTTATTTTGGAGGAAAAAGAAAGAACCTACCTATAGGACATTTCATCATGGGAAAGTTATGATTATTAAACTATATCAATGGCATTTAGATAGAAAACTTTAAAATTAAAACACCTGTTGCTCCTTCTTGGTATTATAATAACACAATTTTATTGAGGAAATGATGAATGAAATTTCAAGGTATCTTTCTTCACACCAGTAGCCAAAGCACACAAGAATGTTTTTTGGCAATCACTCACATATTTTAAAGTTTTTCCTTTTAATATTTTTTAAAATAACTCAGATGTTTCAAACAAAGCAAATTTTATAGTAAATAACAACTAGTGGATGATGTTCTAGTTTGGTCTGTAAAATAGTTTTCAGCGAGTTTATTAGAAAATCTTAGGAACAATCTCTTCAGTCATAAGGCATTCAGGTTCTGATGTCATTAAAAATCTAGTTTCCTCCCCCCATGTTTTATGGAGTTTAGTCCAAACATATTTTAAACCATTACTAATTATTCTATCCAAAAAAGTGTTTCATTTAAATATCACTGAGTAAAATTGAAAGTACTGGGAAAATATTAGGGTAAAAGTTTCAAGAACTTTAACAAGGACATACTACCATAAACAAGGGGGTCCAACATTTCCCAAAGCAAAGCAAAGTTTCCCGCTTAGGACTATTCTGTGAGGCTATTTTCTTCTGTGACTGACTAATGTTTGCTTTTGCTGGTTTTTGTGCTATGGGAGTTGAGTATTTGTTTTCTATCTACTGTGATTTTGCCCTCCTCTCCAAAACAATAAACTCTACATTCTAACAGTATCAGTCACAAAAAATTAACCAAGCTAACTTTTATTGCCTTGTTTTCTTGGACTATAAACATGATGAGGTGAGATGCACTCCTGACCCCCTGGACCATCAAGTCAAGTTAGAACACTGACGTGATCAGTATTTATGGCAAGATCTATTGTCAAAGCATTGTTTAAAAACGAAATGAGGAAATATCTCTCACCTACTATGATAAGATAGTACTGGGAAACTATTCTATTGTATAGAACCTGGGCTAACATTCAGTGTTTAATTTTTTTTTAAGCTTTACAGTGATTTCTATACTTATCTAATATTTAAAACTTTCTGATAAATTTGAATAAAATTTTATTTTCTTTTTTCCCCTGTACATTACATTTTAACCAAAGTTCTTTTTAAAGAAAAAGTAAATGAGCTCTTCTATATTCAAACAAAATGATTTTTCGACATCTGGGTTGGGGGTTTTGAGAGGAGGGAAGGAAGAAGGCAGATACAATATCCCAAGTCCAAAAATCATCCAAACAGAGACAGAAAGTAGCAGCAGGAAATTAATACCAGGTTTAAAAGAAAAAAATGTTAATATAATGAAGCAAATGTTGAGCCAGATGCTACATAGGAATGAACCCCTCTCCTAAGAAGTGCTGGCCACTTTCATAAAATTCAAGTGGCCCGATGAGAGTTGATGACCCTCCAAAAGTTCCAGACTAAAATAGTAACTGAATTATTTCAGGGTTTCAAACCTGTAAAAACCGCCATACTTCTGTTTAGTATTTGTTAAAAGTGATGAGATTTCTTCTAATCAATACATTTCACTTGAAAAGTCGTTTGTAGTTTTTCTGCTGTTACCTTTTGTGTATACATAAAAACTTGTATTATTCTATTTGCATTATTCTAAAGCTCACAAGCAGACTTTAATTAATATACTTTCAACCAAAAATTTAGTTATCATTGTTGGAAATGTGAATAATATTAGTATTAATCTGCCTGGCCAGGCAGACACAGACTAAATCAGTTCTGAGACATAGATGTCCAAACTATTATGGAAAATGTCAAAATTCACCTCAGATACATATTAATTAATTTTTATAGTCATCATTGGCTGTGAAAGTATTTGATACATGAACTACAATTTTGAAGCAATAGTAAAACCAAGATAACAGAAAAGAAGCTGACCATTCTTTTGGGAACTCTAATATTGGAACTGAATGTGGTAATTAAAATGTTTTATAGGAAGTTTGCCCATCTAACCAGACTGAAAAGTAACCCAGTAATTTGAACATTGTTAAATCATTGGCAAATTCCTTTGGTGAACTTTGTGACATAAACTATGGAGCAGCCTATTAAAAATTCACCAGCATGCAAAGCACATGTATACTTGCATGCCTTCAACCAAGCTTATTATCTGCATTCATATGTTTTCAAATATACTATGTAAAACCCTGGAGGGCCAAGGCCAGATGTGGTATTTTATCTGCATTCTGCCCTGGTCTGGCCCTTTGCTAACATTTCACTGAACACAGTACACAGTTCAGCACGCAATGTCAAATAATCGCTGGCTAACACAGTGCACACATCCTCCTATACATAATATATGCTATCCATGAAATGCAAATATTCCAAGTATTTAAAGTGTATATCAAATTAACTAACCAAAAATTAACTAATTAACAAGAGACAAAAAAGCAAAAGTTATATCCTTTCACTGAAGTTTCCTAATACTGAATGTTTAAACTCAACTATTTCAAAAACAATATACATGGAACACACTTTTCTAACCATAGAAATGAGAGATAACTTCAGTTCTTAGTTCTTTAGCTAGAGATAAATAACCAAAGACAACTGATCTCTTTGTTTCATTTCATCAAATATAAACCTTAAAATTACTTAGAAAACCATTGTGGTAATATGCTGCTCCAAAATGTTGCCAGTTAGAAAATACATTTTATCATCTGACAAGTCTTTATTTCCCCATCCCTCCTTCATTAAAAAATACTTCTGTAGTTTGATGCATTTTTCCAGAGAGCAATAAATAGGTTAGATCATAAGTGACTTTATCCACTGACATACAGACTGACTGATGGAAACTTCTAACAGCCTTAAGACTTTAAGCCTTGGTACAAGGGTTTACATCAGACCCTTCGCAGAAGAGGAAAGCCATTTAATCCTAGAAACTTGCTAAACTTCCTAGGAGACAAACCAGAGATTTGGTGTGTTTTATTAATTCCAAAAAACAGCAAAAATATTTTTTACATCTCTGGGTGTTCATATTCCTCCCCCCCAACCCCGCCCTGTATAATTGTGTATTGGAAAAGGCAAATGCTTAAGACTGAGCTTTGGGTGGCAAACCCAATTTCAACCTGTGCCCTGTGTCACTTTCCCTATTTAGGGCTACTGCCTGCTTGGGTCCCTGAGAATAATTGCTGCCACTTCATTCTGAAATGACGCTCAGGTTAAAAAAAAAAAAAAACAGTAGAAAGAGAGAGAGAAAGAATGCCGAGGGACACTGTGTTTATCCTCCTAAAAGCAAATTCAACGGTTTCATAATTTAAATAGAAAGTGACTTGAGCACACATTTGCCCAGGTGTTTTTTATTAAATTATTGAAAGCTTATTTCTCTGCATTTTTTAATTCTCAACTCCAATGTATATTTTCTATGTATTTGTACTGAAAGAGAAAAAATTCCCAAAAGATTGCATACCAGAGAGCAGAGCCTCCTGTTCCCTGAGATTGATGTATGTTTATGAGGAAATCCAGCATGCAATTTTCAAAACCTGCAGATTCACTGTAAGTTAAACCATGTGGCCTCCACTCAAATCATTCCCTCCTTTCAAAATCAGTCTTTGGAACTCCCAGTTGCCCTTTTCCCTTAAATCTTTCCGCACTGATCTGTTCCCTGCGACCCCAGTTCTACGTGGTGGAGCCACTGGGGGTGGTGATTCGCCAGCCATCTGGATCCCTCTCTCTATCACCGAGGCACTGCTCACTGTCCTCCCCACAATCCAGTCTTATTTGACGGCCATTTGCTCTTTTATCTCACAGAAGAATATTTTAAATAAAAAGGGACACTTTCTTTGATAGGAAATACCTGGAGGGTTTGATAAAAATACAGATGGCCGGCTTCGTCCTAAAATCACACCATTGATGGGTAGACAGAGATTTGCATTTTAAATCTGAGAACTTCTTATATTACTTTTATGCCATTACAAGAGTGGGGAAGATATGTTCAAAAGTACATGCTTCTTTTCCTAACAATCCACAAATCTTTTAAAAGTATGTATTGCTGAATAGATAAATGAGAAGCAGAAATATCCAACCTCAAGCAGAAGTTAGAATTTTAAGAGCTATATAATGTGTCATCAGTAAATTTCCAAAAGCCAGAAAAGAATAATAGAAAACGCAGCTTTTGTTTCATTACCTGAATAGTAGGAGTCATGTAGAAGCGCTGTTAGTCTGAAGGCCAAACAGCATCGTGTGAAGGGATATGTGACCTTAATTCTCAGATAAAAGAAATTAACATACAGTTTAGGTAAAGAATTTGCTGTCCACTTTTAAACCTTTTGTTGGTTCATTGTCACTTAACCTAGGCCTCATTTACCTGGGGATTTGCACAGAATTCTGCTGGAGGGCCTCAGAGTTGTTCAATGACAATTTAAAAGCCCATTTAGGATTAGGCAGTTTAACCAGGTGAGCAGGGGTTTCACTTCCCGAAAGAAAGCCACAGCTCTGCCAGGAAGTCCTTACTGTGAGGCCCAGGGCTTGATTAGCCCGGGTTTGGAGGAGCTCGCACTCAGCACGGGGACTAATCACGGTTCAAGCTACACCGTCTCGTTTGTACAGCCAGAGGTCCGTGAGGACAAGGCACGGGGCTGCCACAAGACTAAATACTTCGTGCCTCTTCCATGTATGAATTAGCACTTAGGGGGTCACTGAATATTAAGACAATCACTCCCAACTCATGCTGAAGACGTGCACACGTTCGGAAGAGTCACAGCAGAAATCAGGATGACTTATTTACAGAACCAGCGAGGGTGCTCTGCTTGGGCCTTTTTCTCTTAAATGTCAGAATTACTTGATTTGTCTATCCTGAGACTGCAGTGTTTTCCTTAGTAGAGAAAGGCACACTTCTGAAACATTTCTCAGTCAATGTTTTTATTTCTCTCAACCAAAGGCCATATCCCACCTCTGCTTGTTCCGTCGGTGAGAACACGGTCTCACTGTGCAGTGTGGCCCCATGTGCTCAGGATTCTTGACAGTGAAAGGGCAGGATTCAGAGCAATGCGTGTGCTCAGAAAGCTGTGGAGAGCAAGGGATTCTCCTTTAAGGGCACTGGGACATAGGTTTTAAGAGAGTAGCACTGCCTATAAAAATTATTAGGTTCATTTACATTTCTACAGATAAAACCAGTCTCTGAGGAGAAAGGAATATGTGCAAGAGAATAGACAAACAGGCAGAAAAATCAGACTGTTGAAAGGGATGATGAGTAGAACAAACGGCTGATTGTTCATGTAACAAGGTTCTAGAAGACAGCGGTTCCAGTCGAGAGTGGCCAGGGGTCAGCATCAGCAGCATCACTTGTAAACTTGTGAGAGCGGCAGCACTCACCCTAGACCTACGGAATCAGACTCCGTGTTTTAACTAGGTCTCTAAGTGGTGCATACCCACCTGAATGTTTAAGGTTCCCCTATAGTTCTAAAAACTATAGCCAGAGAGCACGAGAAGTAGAGATATGGGCTTTGAGCTCCAGAACACATTTCAAATTTTATTTTTAGATGAAGGGAAGTAGAGTAAGAGTTTGAGTCTAGGAGTTATTTTAGTAAGAGGAATATACTACTGTGTATCAGAATATTTGGATATACTACCATTATGGTGCTGGAGAAGACTCTTGAGAAACCCTTGGGCTGCAGAGATCACACCATTCAACCCTAAAGGAAATCAACTCTGAATATTCATTGGAATGACTGTTGCTGAAACTGAAGTTCCAATACTTTGATCAGCTGATGTGAGCACCTGACTCATTAGAAAAGACCCTAATGCTGGGAAACACTGAAGGCAAAAGAAGGGGGTGGCAAAGGATGAGACGGCTAGATGGCATCACCAACTCAATGGACATGAATTTGAGCAAACTCCAGGAGATGGTGAAGAACAGAGGAATCTGGTGTGTCCCTGGGACCTCAAACAGTCACATGCTACACATGAGATCGTAAAGAGACATGACTTTGCTACTGAACAATAACACATATACATATGTATAAAAGAAAAACAATTAGAATCTTATCAAGGTAGTTCAGTTGACAACCATGTAGGATAAATACTTTGAGATATTTAAATGCATTATAGTTTATTCTATATTTTCTTTTGTACTAATTCCTAAAATATATCAGAACTCCTTGTTCCTCCAGTCCCAAAAACTAAATGTTCCCAAGAGGGTCATTCTCAGGCAACATTTTATCAAATAGCAATTCAAAAGAGGCTCACTCTCTACATGATGAGCTCACAAAATGTACATCAACCTAGTCAGCACCTAACGAAACCTAATGCAAAATTGTGATAACACCATGAAAAGTAAGGGTCAAGATTAAAAGATGGCAAAGACTAATTTGCGTGAGAGAACAGATCAAGAAATATATAGGTCGTCTGCTATCCAAATCCAGGAATTTGATGAATTCTAACAGCAGGGGATGACTGTCCTGTCATTGAACACTGGGTAAGAGACAGATAGTGGTGGACAGAATATAACCAGTGTCCTTTACCTAAAAGTTCATTGAGAGAGAATTGATACAATGTCAAGAAAAGATTTAACCCAGCTGCTCTTCCTATTAAAGAATCATGATGATAATGCAGCACTGAGCACGATCCACAACTCAAGAGTGTGAAGTTGTGAGCTTTTTATTTGTGGCTTCTCTTCCTCTGGGCGTCTAAGTCATTTTGCCATGAATAAGTTCTCTCTTAAAGGCATATACAGCAGGCTTGCCCAGTATATATAAGAATCTTCTGCAGTTATAGATGAGTTGGTGTGGGAAACCATCTCTTCAAGACTGTTATCTATGCTAACCATACTGCACTCAGACACTAAAACAATTGTCCTGCCTCAATGATGTCACACTAATTCTTTCAATTTGACTTGCTCATATGCAAAGGTGGTACCACCTATGGACAATGATAGCAGCTAGTCTAACTTGAAGCTAATAGCCAGTTAATAACTACCTAAGTTTGCTATCATAGTTCCACAAGCTTTATTTTAACCATTGTTAAAGACACATTTTCTTGGTGTAATATTCTGCAAGAGGCAGTTTAATAAGCCACTTAAGAAGCTGAGTTGTCTAGACAAAACTACTTAACACCTCTTTGGGCCCCAGTTCCCTTGTGTCTAATATAAGGATAACATTAATGCCTACTTCATAGAGTTGTGAGGATTAAATTGCATGTGTGTGTGTGTGCAGGTACATGTGCATATGGCACCCAGCACATAACAAGTGCTGTGTAAATATTGGTTATTATTATCAAATGCTAGCTCCCCAAATATTACTAATACAGCCTGTCAATAAGATAGAGCTGACTTTATTACTTAACCTCAGTGAGCGAAAAAACAACCTCTTCAAAGTTTTGACTGTGTTCCTGAGGGAGAAAATTTGACCTTGCCTTCAAAATTTACCGAGAATTAAAAGCTTGGTTTATTGTGGGTCTTTCACTGAGGGGGATTCATTAAAATTAGATAAAGATTCAGATATAACTGTCCAGCACTGACTGTATTTTGATGCTTTCCACTGGAGATCTGGTAGGTCTTTAGGGAAGTTCCCAAGTAATGAAATCATTTACCTGGATGAAAGTCTCATGAAATAGTAGTCATCTTAACATGGATATATATTTGGGGGTGGGGGTAAGTAGAAGGGGCTGATAGGGAGTTTTAGTCCTCACTATCAAGCTGTGTATATGGGTTAACGGTTTCAATAGTCATTATTATTTACTCTTCATTGTTACATTTTTAAGAAGGAGGTAATGATTAATGAATGAGATCTGTTTTTACCCATAACAACCCAGGAAATATCAAGACCTTGAGAAACCAAACAAAATGTATGGAAGTTCCTGGGAAGTCAGATCTGAGTGAAGTAGAAAGGCAGTGGGGTGAGGAGTGGAATAGACAGAATGAACAGTGAAATAATATCAGAAACACACTGTTGATAGCACAATTTTTTTCTGATGTCAGCCTGCTTTCTTCCAATGGTTACTTAGCTACATCAGGTTTGATCTTTAGAGGGCAACCTTTGCAAGTATCAACCATTGCATCTGTACTGTTTCAGTTTTCCCTTTGTAGCGTGTGTGTGTGCGTGTGAGAGAGTCAATTGCTCAGCTGTATCTGACTCTTTGCAACCCTATGGACTGTAGCCCACCAGCCTCCACTGTCCATGGGATTTTTCAGGCAAGAATGCTGGAGTAGGTTGCCACTAGGGTATCTAGAAGATATTTTGAGAAAGGCAATGCATACAGTATTATCAGAAATAGTGATATTTGCATACATATACATGTAGATATATTACATTGAAGGCAAGGTGACTACAAGTAAATGGCAAGGGCTTTGACTCTAAGTGGACCTTCCTTCAAACCCTGTTCTGTCACATATTAGCTGTGTGGTCTTGGACATGTTATTTAACCTCCATGAACTTTACTTTCTTCACCTATAAACTAAGACCACAATATCTACTTGCAGGGATGTTATCAAAAAAGAGGTAATTATTTGCAGCTAATTCTTAATAAATTATAGTTATATTAGACTGTATATTAGAATGCTTTATATTTTATAGGTTACATCTATATATAAGTACTCTTGCTTATGATATAGACTATATAGTATTTGTGAATTATGTATCTGTACAAATTAGTAATTACAATATATGTATGTAATTCCTATTTTAAATAAAACTGAAATCTCATTAGTCATATGTACACTTAACAAAGCTCCAACCAATACTTTGGTCAGCTGATGTAAAAAGCTGACTCATTGGAAAAGACCCAGATGCAGGGAAAGATTGAGGGCAGAAAGAGAAAGGGGCAATCGAGGATGAGATGGTTGGATGGCATTATCTACTCAATGGACATGCATTTGAGCAGAATCTGGGAGATAGTGAAGGACAGGGAAGTCTGTTGTGCTGCAGTCCATGGGGTTGCAAAGAGTCAGACATGACTGAGTGACTGATCAACAACACTCAGCAATCAGAATGTAGTTTTAATTGAGAATAACTAAAATAACTAATAAGTACAGTACCTAAAATATCCCCTACCTATCAAGTAATCCTTTTCTTATTTATACTCAAGACACTCAATTTTTACAGCAATTACTGTTATTAGTTTCCTCAGATAAGATATGCTTTTGAGCTTTCCCCATTTTTATAACATTATAAATTCTAGATCTAAAAAATCTAAAACTATTCCAAAACTTTTTAAAGTCACTATTTCTGCTACAACATTTTTAGAAAGAAAACTTGTTGGGGCTCATAATCAATTTATTGTACTAATAAAATACCACATGTTTGACTAGAAGAACTGATTGATAAAAATAGGTTTAAAAGAATCAAATAATAAAATAAAAAACAAGCTGCAATTCTAATTTCAGATTTTGCAGATGTGTTATTTACTTTTTTCCTTTGGGGCTTCTTTACGTTAGTTAACACCATAACTACACTTGTCATCTCTGATTGTTACTTAAGATAAATTTCTCTCCAAAGAGGTTTATAATGAAGCAGGATAAAGTTGGCATCATAAAAAATGGCATTTTTGAACATGTATAATACATTTCATTTTAATACTATGTTGAAACTGAATATCAACAACGTGCTTTCTCCTTCTCTTCCTTTTCATGGTGCCAAAAGAGCCCATACATCCAGGTAACCTTCAGATACAGTGTCAGAGAGCCCCATTTCTATCACTCCCTGATGATGAATGAGCTTCTTTGCCTAAACAAATAAGCACTTCAGAGGGTTCCCCTTGACAGGGCTGTTAATCCAGAGAGCCTGCCTTATCGCTGCAGAATTCAAGGGCTGAAGGTTTACCGGATCCCTGCACTGCCTGGCTCTCGGGCAGCTGTCTGTAAGCTGCAGGGCACATGGCCACTCTTTTCAAAGAACAGCGAGGCTCTGCCCTTTTTGTCAACCTTCCCTGTGTTTCCAGATCCCATCTTGGGCTAACTTGGGATTTTTCTTTTAGCCAATTGAAATCATTTATTTACATGGAGGTTAATATGCTACATGAATATAGCTTTCCTTTTATGTCCAAAAAAGCAATAGGACAACACAAATTCT